TTTCTGCATTGACTTTCTTTTCTTTTTTTTTAAATTGATTTCAGAGAGGAAGGGAGAGGAAGAGATAGAACATCAACAACGAGAAAGAATCCTTGATCGGCTGCCTCCTGGAGGCCCCTCGCCAGGGATCAAGCCGGCCACCAGGGCATGTGCCCTGACTGCGAAATGAAACCTTATCTTACTTTACCTTACCGGTTCACAGGCCGACGCTGGACCACGGAGCCCTGCGGGCTGGGCTCCTTGGCTGCTTTTTAACGCATCGCTGTGTGCTTAATGAGACGGGAATTGACGGAGGAGGTACTGACCACGGACAAGACACCGAGAGGAGGCTCTGAGCGTGGGATGCTAGTGAGCATCCTCCCGCCTTGGCCGCTGGGAGGTTGGGAGGTGCTCCCTGTGAGAACGCAGGCCTGGTGTCTGCACACGCTCCCTCTGCACATCCCGTGGAGGAGGCGCACGAGGGACCCCACCTACCCCATGTCCCCGAGAACCCCACATGGTGTCCTAGCCTGAAGTAACTAACAAGTGAAGTGGGCCTTCCCGTCTTCAGAGTCTGAGCTTGGAAACAAAAAGCCGGTACCGACTTCTCCCTCTGCCCAGCAGCACCCTGGGAAATCCACACACAAGGGGTGAGGCGCGGGCTGGAAGCTATTCCGCCCTGCACCCGATGGTCACTCTTGGGTCCACGTCAGTATCTTCGCCCGGCATCACCCTCCATTCCACTCAAGGACGGTCAGCCGGCTGCCCTGGCTCCGTGGTTGAGCGTCAACCTGTGAAACCGAGGTCATAGTTGGATTCCCGGTCAGGGCACATACCCAGGTTGTGGGCTCAATCGCCAGTAGGGGGAGTGGTGGAGCCAGGCAATGATTCTCTCTCATCATGGATGTTTCTCTCTCCCTCTCCTTCTCCTTTTCCTTCTCCCTACCTCTCTGAAATCAATTAAAAATATATATATTTAAAAAAAAAAAAAAACCAGAAAGGAAGGATACCACCTCCATTCCCTTTCCAGGTTGATGCCTCGCTTCCCCCGTGGGGAAAAGACGAACACGGAAATTCTGCGGAATGCGTGTTCCCACGAGGCTCAGAAAGCCGATGATCTCAGAGGATATTCTAAAGAAAGACCCTTGACACTTCCCGAGGAAAGAATGTCTTTTTCAAGGCCACGGCCAGGACACAAAGCATGTGCTGGGAAAATCTACCGCGGCTGCTGCTGCTGCTGCGTATGTTTCCAATTCTGATGGCCCATTTCCTCTTTATAATCACATTCCTCCCCTCCGCCTCCCTCTCTAAAAGGGACACAGGCAGTCGGTCTCAGGGAAGAGGCAACTCGGAGCGCCCTGAGACACAGGCTGAGAGAGGAGAAGGCTAAGCGAGTGCCAGCAGGCATAAAACGCTGGAATCCTCTAGAAGGCCGGCTCCATCCGCCACTTTTAAATGTTTCCAAAAACGAACTTAAATGTTGGCACGCCTAACTTTCTAGACATAAAGCTTCATTCACATAAAGCGAATCCCTGCGGGCCACCACCCAGCACAAAGCCTGTTGGCGACACCGCTTGGAGAGCTGTAAGGCCAGGAGTCTGGCCTTTCGACCAGCTCACCTCGGCTTAGGAAGAATCGATTACGGCAACATATGTGGATGGGATTCCCAACTGCAGAGGGCTGCTAATCAGATGGCTGCTGTTCCCATTGATAAAAGATATAATACCCTACAGCACATGTGTCAAACACAAGGCCCGCGGGCCAAATCCGTCCCGCCAGGCCTTGCAATGTGGCCCGCACCGCGCTGTCATCACTGCACTCCGCTGCGTTTCCATCACAATGACAGTTTATGACTGTTCAGTAAACCATTCGGCCCGCGATTTAGGCTGGATTTTAGATTTTGGCCCCTTCTCTGATTGAGTTCGACACCCCTACCCTACAGTGTACCCTTTAAAGAGAAAGGATGTGTGGCTCAGTGGTTGAGCGTTCACCCATGAACCAAGAGGTCATGGCTCGATTCCCCGCAGGGCACATGCCCTGGTTGCAGGCTGCATCCCCAGGAGGGGGCATGCGGGAGGCAGCTGACCAATGATTCCCTCTCATCGTGGATGTCTCTCTCTCTCTCTCTCTCTCTAAGTCCGTAAAAACATATTTTTGAAAAAGAGAGAGGAAAAAGGACCTTGGAATCAAAGAAGAGAATTCAAATCTCCCCTCCACCACTTACCATCTACAGAATTAGGGTGCAAGGGGCAGTTCCTGACCTTCGTCCTCGGCTTCCCTCTAGCAAGGGGTGAGGATGCATGCAAAACCCTCTGTACACAGTGAGCCCTTCCGAACCTGAGTGACAGCTCTAGTCGGCCATTTAATTCACGTCCACATGCCCAGGGACTGAGAGAAGATGACTGAGAGAAGAGGAGAAGAGGGAGAGAGGAGACTCTCACCCACAAGGAGGACTAACGTCCAGCACCCGGATCCGATCACCTGAGGATCCCTTCTTACTCCAGCACCACCCACCCCACTCCGTCCCCTTCCCCTCGGACTCAGGAGCTCCGAGTGGCTCTGCCAGCACCAGGGAGTGTCCATCTGTAACACCACGCTGGACGCGCGGCGGGCGATTCCATCATTTATCCCATCCCATGAAGGGGGTGAGGCCTACACAGGGGCATCCATCAGACACCTGTGGCCAGAGACCAGCCATTTCAAAATATTTCTCTTGATTTCAGAGAGGAAGGGAAAGGGGGAGGGAAATGGAAACATCCCGTGATGAGAATCATGGATCAGCTGCCTGCTGCACACCCCACACTGGGGATCAAGCCCACAACCCGGGCCTCTGCCCTGATCAGGAAGCGAACCGTGACCTCCTGGTTCGTAGGTGGATGCTCAACCACGGGGCCACATCAGCTGGGCAGAGACCGACCATCTAAGAGGATCCCCCAGCCGCGACTCCAGGAGCAGTCCCGGGTCCCATGCTTTGCATCGCGTTCATGTGTGTGCCAGGGAGGGCCTGGGCGGCATCGAATGATGCTCTATTTCACACAACTCACCACATGAAGGAAAGACCAAATGGAAAGGAACAGGAATGGGAGCCTCCCTCAGTTCCCAGCCCCGGCGCCGCGTGTTGCCAGCTCGCCTGTTGGACGGCGTCCCGCTGCCACGTCACCGCGCCGTGGCTCCTGAGGACACGTCCACGGCTTCGCCTCCTGACAATCTGACCACATCCCTCGGAAAAAGACAGCCCTCCGTGGCCGCAGCTCTTTCCATTACCACTGCTCCGGCCAGGAAAACCGCTTTTCCCCTGAAGTAAGCGTCTCTTTTGCCTTCTAAGCTTACGAGGCTTCCAAACTGGTTCGCCCGGAGATGAATGGCCCCCGGGGCCGTTTCCAGGGGGCCCTGGGCTTGTCAAGGAAGTAGCTCTGGGCCACTTTGCAGGCCTGCCCGCAGCCGGGTGGCCGGGACTGTCTCCTAACTCATCCCCGGTCACTCTCGGGACCCTTCCCTCCCGGTCCCACAGGCACCAACCATGAATGCCTGGGAATGTCAGCCTCCTCCCCAAACAGTGCTGCTTGGAATACCCCATTCAAACAACTCTCATCATTCAACACCCCCCCCTCCCCCCCCCCCCCCCCCCCACACACACACACACACACAACTCCTCCCAGGTCAGCCAGTCCTCCTGGGTTTCCTGGTTCCCATCTAGGAAAGAGTCCCTTAACAAATGCCCCACAGGCTGCATTGACTCCTCCCTCCCCCTAAGAAAAAACCCCGTTCACCAACATGGGAAGCCGTCCCTTTCTCTGTGGCAGAAGGCCCGCCATGGGGGGCAGGGGTGCGCAAAGCCTGGCTCCTCTCTCTAAATCGCCGCACCGGGGTGTGCGGGGTGTCTTCTGGGAAAGACTGGACAAGGGTTTTCCAATGCAGCGTTACATAACCGGAGTCGTTTCTTTAGCAATGGCTCATTTGCTGGTGGTTTCCCCCTCCCCCCAAACATTCCTGGGAAATTGTTATGGTACACTATTACAAAACATCGTATGTCCGGATGGATTCTATAGAATGAGCCTCCGCCCCTTCGGCCAGTACCCATGGGCTGCGCGCACAGACACCCCGACCGCACAGATACCCTGATTCGCAGGGAAAACAAAACCAACAAAACCTAAAAGAGTGGTCTTCCTCTGTGACGGGCAAAATCTGATTCCAGGAAACCAACCGCGGGGAGCGCCCAGAACTCGGGGAAGCTCACAACTTGTTGCAGCCACGAGCGCTCCCCCGCAGCCTGAACAAAGCATTGCCAACGCGCTCCAGAAGCCGCGGGCCCGCGGGCGGCGCGGGTGTGTTTGTAATTAACTCTCCATCCAGGACCCGCGTCACCCCCTCCCCGGCCTCTCCCGGCCCAGCACCCTCCGGGGCGCCCGCTCCCAATCTGGTTTCCATCCCGGCCCCGCCCCCGCCCCCGCCCTGCCCTCCCGGGAGCCGTGCATCCACCCCGTCCCGGGCAGGAAGCGGCGCCGGGCAGCCCCTCGCCGGCCGAACAAAGGAGCGGGCGCAGCTGCCGCGCGCAGCCCGCGGCCCCGGCCCCTGCCCCGCCGCCGGGGCGCGCCGCACCTGAACCCCGGTCCCTGTCCCCCATTGTTCTGCCTCCGCCTCCTTCCCCGAGGAGGCCACCCGCGTCCCTCCACGGAACCGGGGGGCCAGGGAGCAGCCGTGGGCCGGAGAGATGGCCGGGGCGCGAGGAAGGTCGGGGTCCCTATGCCCACGGGTCCGCGGGGCGAAGTGAGAGCAACTTGGTTCGCGCGCCCCCTCGCCTCGCTCCAGACCCCGAAGCCACAGCGGGGCCACCCGCCCTGCGCACCCTCCGCGGGCCCGGGGTCTCGCCGCAGCGCCGCCTCGCCCCGCCGCAGACCCTGCGGGGACCCGGCACAAAGGCGCGCGGGGGGCGCACGCTTCACCGCCCCCCGAGGGCCGCGCGGACCCGGCGGAAAGGGCAGGGGAGACGGGGAGGGGGAGAGGAAGCGAGCTCTCCGTACCTTGCCGGGCGCCCTTGCCTCCTCGTCGTCCTCTCTCCGCGGCGCCGGGACGCGGGCCACCGGGAGGGTGCAGGTCCCGGGAGGCTGTCCCGCAGCTGCGCCCCCTGCGCTCGGGCTCCGTCCTCCACGCGCGGCGCCGGGGCTGCGGTGCGCGCTGGGCGGCGAGCGGAGTGCGGGCGCCGCGGAGCGCGGGCTGCGGCGGGAGCTCGGCCACTCCCTCCCGGCGGGGCCGGCCCAGGGGCGGGGGCGGCGACCTCGCTGCCGGATTCGCCCCTCCGCGCGCCCGCGGGACCCGAGCCGCCGCCTCCCGGCCGCTCACCTCCGGCCTTCCCGGTGCCGGCCGCACAGCGCCCCCCGGCGAGCGCCAGGGGCAGCGCCGCACCCCGGGGCCAGCCCAGATGCGACTGGAATGGGAGAGGAAACGGGGAGGGGTCGGTTCCCCAGACCCTGACCCCCGCGCCCCAAAGGAAGGCGAGGTCCTTGTGCCCCTTTCACGCGCGGACTGACTCCGTGGAACCAGGGGCGTGGGGAGGGGCCGGAGGGTTGGCAGCGAGGAGCCAGCCTGGGGCCAGTGCCTGCCCAGAGTGGGAGTGTTCCCGGTCCTTCCTCCTCTTCCAGGTTAAAACGTTTGATACCCAAGAATATCATAAAATACTCACTTATCCAATAAAGGGGGGGAAGTATTGATGGCAAAGTGTGCTTTCAGGGGTAAGGTTTTTCATATCGATGAGCCCACTTCATCTCGCATAAGGCTACGTAGGCACTGGCCAATTCTGTTAAAGAAAATAAAAGATGGTTGAAAAGTTCAAATGCCCGTTTATGTCTGAATACGGGGCAGTGATCTGCATGTCACTTAGGTTGGAGCCCTCACTCCAGCCGGCCTCTGGCCGCTTTGCAGAATTTATTTTTATTATTTAATTATTTATTAAATCCTTATTATTGAAAGTATTACCTATACACTCTGTCCTCTTTCTCCCTCTACCCCCCATTGACCCCTTCTAGCCAGTCTCCCGCCCCAGGCCTTCACACCGCTGTGGTCTGTGTCTGGGGATTATGCATCTATGCATACAAGGTCTTCAGCTATCTCTTCCTGTCCAGCCACCCTCCCTGCCTTGTGAAAACAGGCGTGCTGAAATATTGAATTCAGGTTACGTCATTGAAATCGATGTCCTCATGCTCGCCACCTCCTGCAGACGAACCAAATTGTTATTTGACTTATTTTTAATTAAACTTGTTCTGATTCCTATACATTATTGAACTACATTTATTTTTGTTATTCCTTTTATATGATTCAACATGCCAGAACGGAGATAGACCGTTGGAGGAGAAATGAATAGTATTGTCACCTCTTTGTGGAATTCAGAACAAGCCGCCCGACCCAGGTCCCGGTTTCCTCATCCCCAGGAGGGAGGGTGCCTGTCTGAACTGACTCAGTGGGTGCGTTGAGGATTACTTGACTCAGGTGTTAAAAGCCATGTGGGCTCAGCAATCGTCACTCCTGGCTCTGGCTATTTTGTCCTATAATGAAACGAGGTGCCATAAACGGGGCCAGGTTTCAATGGGCTGACCTATATCTGGAAACTGTCACTAAAATGAGGTGAACCAAGGATCAGACCATATATAGCAACTCCGTCCCCACCGGCAGCAGGCCACAGGCACTGGGGTTTGTCAAATGCCACCGGTCGAGTTCGGAGAAGAGGCAGTCCCCCCCAGACAGCATCTGCTGGGAATGCCCATCATCGATGACACCAACAGGTACCAATCCAGGTCTGCAGAAGGCAGGAGGATGGTCTCAGCAAGACAGACTGAGTGCCAGGCTCTGGTGTCTTTTTCTACTTTCATCTTCACAAAATCCTGGGCGGCAGGTTCCTCTCATTGCTTAAAGACCAGGAAAGGCAAGGACAGACAGGGCCTCCTGCTAATCCGTGGCCATGGCGGCTCTAAGATCTGTCCACCCAGCTGTTAGCACGCCTTCCATGAAGGAGTGGAGGCTGCTGCCTTCCCTTCAATATGGGCGGGACTTGGTGACTTGATTCTAACAAATACAACAGAGCTGAAGCGATGCTATAGTCATAACTTTTGTGTGTGTGTTTTTATGTGGTTTTTTTTTTGTCATAAACTTTGATTTAGCTTGTAAAAGGAAGTGTAGCTTTAAAAAAGAAATATATATATATATATATATATATATATATATATATATATATATATATATAGTTGATTTCGGAGAGGAAGTGAGAGTGAAACATTACTGGTGAAAGAGAATCATGGATCGGCTGCCTCCTGCACGCCCCCTACTGGGGATCGAGCCCACAACCCGGGCACGTGCCCTGACCGGGAATTGTGACCTCTCAGTTCGTGGGTTGGTGCTCAACCACCGAGTCTCACCAGCCCAGCAGGACTCATGTTCTCGTCCTTAGTTATTGTACATCACCTCAAATGAGTGAAGGGCCTTCTCATTCTAAAAAAAATCTGTCTTTGTGTTTGCCTTTCTGCCCTCTCCTTGGCTGCCTACAAACAACGTTCACCCACATACCCTTTGAGGCCAAACTCAGTTCTCACCTCTTCCTGACCATCTTCCTGAATTGGCTTCTGCTTTTGTTACTATGGTAACATCTTGATGCCCCATCCTTGCGGTATCCTATTAATTTGCTCCAGTTTGTGAAATCTTTCCGGTCATTTTCTTATAAATGCTGGCCTCTGCCACTAGATGATAGGCCTCTAGATTAAAGGAATAATTCTGTTTGAAAACACCAGGGGCATGAACATAAGAATGCTTTACCGGGCTGACTGTGTTCCAGAAAGTGTTCTGACTGATCTGTGTTGTGTTCACTTATGTAACCCTCACAGCAGCCCAGTGCGATACGTTATTATTACTATGGTACCCTATTTTACAGATGGTGAAACTGAGGTAAAGACAAATTAAGTTACTTGTTTAAGGTCGCCCAATAACGACATGAGAGCCAGAATGTGAATGTAGTCAGTCTGGCCTCAGGTCCAGGCTCTTATCTCAGAGCTACATGTACCACGACCGCTCACATCCGTGAGCGTTTCATCTGTGAGCTCTTTCTTCTTTCTCTTGTCTTTGAAAACAGGTACAATCATCCTCGGAGTCCCCTTCAGATACTAAAACCCTCCAATACTCAAGTGCCTCATAAAAATGGCGTAATCTTTGCATGTAACCTACACACATCCTCCGTATATTTTAAATCGTCTCTAGATTACTTACAATACCTAAGTAATCACCTAATGGAAATACTGTGTAAATAGTTGTTGTATTGTGTTGTGTAGGGCGGTGGTCGGCAAACTCATTAGCCAACAGAGCCAAATGTCAACAATACAACGATGGAAATTTCTTTGGAGAGCCACATCTTTTAAACCTAAACTTCTTCTAATGCCACTTCTTCAAAATAGACTCTCCCAGGCCGTGGCATTTTGTGGAAGAGCCACACTCAAGGGGCCAAAGAGCCGCATGTGGCTCAAGAGCCGCGGTTTGGCAACCACTGGTGTAGGGGATAGGGATAATGATAAGAAAAGGAAGTCTACATGTGCTCGGTACATCCACAACCACTGTAGGCCTGGCTGTAAATGCATGTCAGCAACAACGCCGCCTTCTTCCCCAAATATTTTCAGTCCGCGGTGGGCCAGATCCCAGGATGAGAAACGTGCAATGCGCAGGGCCATCTGTGTTGTCTGATTGCTTTATTACACATCCCCGAGTCCAGAATCGCGCTCCAAAAGTGGTAAGCACTGAATGCATATTTCTTAGCTTCATTCAAAAGGAAACCTCTTTGTGTACTTAAAGAGTGCCTTAGAAATAAATGGTTACTGCCCAAAATGTTATTGGAAATTCAAATTAGGCATTATAAAAAATATTTCAGTAGCATTTTCTGCCTCCAGGGCTCGGCAGCAAAATCACAATTCTTACTCTAAGTATTTAAACATGGGTAGGTAGAAAGTAGCTAGGAGAGTGGATCTTGGAAGTCCTCATCACAAGAGGAAAACAAAAAATGTTATAACTCAGCCCTGGCCAGGTAGCCCAGTGGGCTGGAGCATTGTCTTGATGCAGCAAGGTTGTGGGTTCGATTCCCATCAGGGCATAAATGGGTGGAACAACAAAGTCAATGTTTCTCTCTTTCCCTTCACCTAAAATTAATCAATAAATAAAATTTTAAATGTAACTGCCCAGCTGGTGTGGCTCAGTGGTTGAGTGTTGACTTATGAACCAGGAGGTCACGGTTCCATTTCCGGTCATAGCACATGCCCAGATTGCAGGCCTGATCCCCAGTGGGGAGCATAGAGGAGGCAGCTGATCCATGATTCTCATCATTGATTTTTCTCTCTCTCTCTCTCTCTCTCTCTGCCATTCCCTTCCTCTCTGAAATCAATGAAAAAATATATATTAAAAATAAATAAATGGCCCTAGCTGGTTTGGCTCAACAGATAGAGAGTCGGCCTGCGAACTTAAGGGTCCCAGGCTCGATTCTGGTCAAGGGCACATGCTGAGGTTGCACGCTTGATTCCCAGTGTGGGGCGTGCAGGCAGCAGCTGATCCATGATTCTCTCTCATCACTGATGCTCATATCTCTCTCTCCTTCTCCCTTCCTCCCTGAAATCAATAACAATATATGCAAACAAACAACAAACAAAACACATTTCCACGTATTCACAACAGAGATAGCATGTAGCCCACGGTTAGGGACCACTGACTAAGTAAACCAACACGGCACTTGGAAGCATCAGCCAGAGCCTAGAGCAGGTGCGCGCGTGGGTCAGCCGGGTCCTCGGCCTGCCTCTTGGGGGGAAGATGAGCGTCCCCGAGGACAAGACTTGTGTCTCTCCCGCTGCCATGTCCCCAGCGCCTGGGCACACACCCGGTGCTCAGTCAACACCGCTCAGCTGACAAGCAATCCCATCCATCAGTGCGATCTTTGGTACAGGAAGGCGCCCTCTAATCTCAGTCATTGTTTCCAGATGGATCTTAGCACACGCTCAAGCCTCCCCACAGCAGGCCGAGCAGAAGCCTTGCTGAGGGGCCACGGCGACCCTCTCCTTCAACTCTGAAAAAGCAGGATTTCACAGACTAGCACAAGGCACAGCTCGCCGTGTGGACAAGCTGCCCAGCTCCCAAAGCACGCATGGCCCTGCCCCGCAGATGACACTGCACCAGGCCGCAGTGTTGGGGCGGCTGAGCGAAGGGAGCAGACACAAGTCTTAGACCAGTGGTCA